CAAAATTATGGGTATTTATACTTAATCTAGCTTATTTACTAAACAATCACTACGTTTACGCGAGTCTTAAAATCACTTTTAAAACTGATTTTAAAATTTGTTCTTAGAGCGTTTACGCACAAAAATTAAAAGCACTTTTAAGGTAGCTGTCAATCAATCAGCTGTTTAACAGTAAACAGAAATGTTGATTTTAAACATTTTTAAAATGAATAGAGTAAAACTACAAATTGTTTTACTTTTATTGCAAAAAAGAAATATAACCAAAATTGTAGAAAATAATAATGAAGCAACAATGCAGATTTTTAAAACATCTCGTAAAAAATTTACAAAATTACGAGAAATGCGATTGCAGCTCTTTAATAAAATGGCAATAAATTCCGCTAATGAGGCTTTAATGAATGTAAATGTTTTTATAAAGTTTTTCATAAAATATTTAGAATGCATTTTTGTTTTTAGCTTTCACCACGAATAAGAACTTTTAGCAAAAGGAAGAGAAGTTCGGAATGGTGGGATGTTGAAGTTCTGTAGTTCTATGACGATGAACAATGGATTGTTGATTTTAAAGTGAATCGACAAATATTTTTCCGGCTTGTAGATTTACTTAAGGATAAAATGGCACCAGCAGAAAATACTTTCGTTGAAGGGTTGAATATTCCCAACCTGAACATATGTACAATCGACAAAATTTGTCGTCCGGACAACTTATGCGAGATAATATGCGCGTACTTGGCGAGAAAATTTCCACTTCTACATAGAAGCAATTAAAAAAATAATGTAGAAAAAACCAATTTTAAATTAATTAATTTATAATTTTTTTTATAACTAACAATATAATATATATAATATAATATATTTATAACAATTTGTGCTTAATGACAAATTTAAATAATTGAAAATAATAAACTTAATTTAAACTAAACTAAAATGTTTTAAATATATAGTTATCATTACAGTAAAGTTAAGATTTTCAAATAGAGAATAAAAAATAAACAAGTTTAATTAATTTAGATTCTGGGATGCAATTAGGCTTTTTCTATATTTTTTGCCGTCTAACAATTTAATTATTTGTTTTTCTGCAAATATTTTAATTAAACATTCTTCCTCCTCTTTCATCCAATTTTTTCTTTTCATTTCCTTTTTCTCCATATTTTTAGTTATTTGGTTAGTGTTATTTGTAATAAAATTCAAATTATTTGTACCTATCTACTGTTAACAGCTGACAATTTAAACCTTAAACTGCTTTTAAGGTGTTTACGCAAAGATTAAAAGTGACATTTCTTACTAAAAGTGATGTTAAACTACATTTAGTAAGCTAAAAGTGCTTTTAAGCAAAATTCAATTTAGGGTGTTTACGCGATCTTAAAATCGATTTTAAGAGCCTTAAAACAACTTTTAAGGCTCGCGTAAACGTAGTGAATTATTATTTACTTTTTGATTGATTTGAGTAACCAATCAATGCATTGGTTATTCCCATAAATTACATTAATTATTTTATTACATGTATTTTATAAACAAATACTCTTCTAACGCATTACAATAATACGTCATATATTGTTTTTAAAGAGTTAATGTACTTTCTAGAATTTAGGTTGGAATAGTGCAATGACCATACATGCTTATCATGTCTTATGTTACAAATGCATTGAAAAATACAAGAGTTTTTGTATTTATTGAAGTTATAAAAAACGAAAGTTACAACGAAAGTATTTTATTCAAATTAATTACACTTTATTTAAGAAATTAAAATTTTAATAAATCACTTCGAAAATCGAAAATAAAACGCGTGCTGTTCACTTGGGACTTGAAATGCAAGAGAGAGAATCAAAAAACCCAGTTCAGTCTGGAAGCTAAAAAACTGTATAAAATTAAAGTTGTTGTTTTTTTAAGATTACCGTATGTAATGTGCAAGGTTGACGAAAGTCAACATTGGGTTGCATATTAACAATAAAAATGAGCAGCACGCGTTTTATTTTAACTACTTTAAACAAAAAATGCAATATAAAATATAAACATTCAACACCGGCCGCGTTGAAGCACGATCATGTGTTCAATTTTCTGGCAGCATCGCTAATTTGTGAACTGGACGCCTCAGAATTCCGTTGCTGGTATTGACGTCAACGACCCTGACCTTATTGTCGCGACCTGTAATTACGGCTTCCACCCTTCCGAGCTTCCACTGGTGAGAGGGAAGGTTGTCTTCTTGGACGACGACTAGTCGGCCGACTGCGAGATTCGGCTGCTCGAACACCCACTTGTTCTTGGGCTGCAGCTGTAGGATGTAATCTTTGGACCAGGCCTGCCAAAACCTCCGTTTGAGCTCGCATAACAGACGCCAACGTTTCAAAGTGCTCAATTTGTTGTCGGAGACGCCTTGCGCGAATTCTTGCGGCAGCGTGTGAAGAGTACCTCCAATCAACAGGTGTGCTGGTGTTAGCGCCTCTTTGTCGTTTGGGTCTTGACTCAATGGACTGAGTGGACGAGAATTTAGCAGGGCTTCTACACCTACAAAATTTGTCGCATTGTCGCAATAGATTTTTTCTGGGAGTCCTCGTCTTCCGGCAAACCTTTTAAGACAAAAAATAAAACAGTTGTCAGATCTGTTACAAGTTCTAAATGTATAGCCTTTGACGTGAAACAAACAAACACTGCGATATACATTTTAACTGGTGGTCGACCACGAATTTTCAAAGTAGTGTATACAGGCCCACAAAAATCGACACCGCTAATTAAAAAGGGTCGTAGTGCCTTTAACCGATCTGCAGGTAAGTTTCCCATTACTTGGGTCAACAGCTTAGGTTTGTATCGAAAACAATGTATGCATGCTCTTACGGTTTTACTGCATGCCTTGCTTGAATTTATGACCCAAATTTTTTCACGAAGCAGCACTTCTAAGGCTTTTGGACCAGCATGACAATTGGTTGTGTGGAGAAATCGTAAATAAATCTCGACAAAATGCAATTTCTTAGGTAACAGCAAGGGAAATTTTGAATCATAAGACAGTGGTGCGTTTAGTAGACGACCTCCTACACGAAGCAAATTGCATGTTCGAGAACCATCTTGGACTGTATGAATGAACGGAGTTAGTTTCTGAATGCTAACTGGCAATTTATGCGACTTCTTCATTTTTTCGATCTCATCCCTGAATTCGTGATTTTGAATGAATTCAACGATTTTCAAGAATGCCCAATTAAGCTCCTTTGATGTCGGAATAAGAGCGTTGGCTCTCTCATTTTTCTTAGTGATAAAACGTAGAATGTACGCGAAAATTCTCAGCAGTCTTGGGTAAGATGATTGGCTACAGATTAGTTTTGAAATGACATTAGTTTCAATTTCAACTGCTAAAAGTCCGACCTTGACCTTTCGTTTCTCCAAACTTTTTTCATCTATTGATAGTGGAAAATGATTATTTTTTGGCCAGTTAGTTGCATCTTGAAGCAAATATGATGGGCCACGAAACCAAATTGAGTGAATCAACTCATCTACATTACATCCTCTGGACTCTAAGTCTGCAGGATTTAGCTTTGATGGAACGTGTCTCCAAAGAACTTCGCTCGTCCATTCTTGGATCTCTGCAACTCTGTTTGCTACAAATGTTGCTAAAGTGGATGGGTGAGTTTTAATCCAATGAAGTGTAATTTCAGAGTCCGTCCAAAAATAAACATCACCGATTTCGCAAGTAATCAACGGCTGAATTCGATATCATAGTTTAGCCAATAAATGAGCGGCACACAGCTCTAATCTGGGTACTGATTTTGTGCTTAAAGGAGCAACCTTAGATTTGGCAGTTAACAACTCAGAATGAATCCCATTCGAATTATGGATTCGGACGTAGATGCAACAGCCGTACGCTCTTATTGACGCATCGGCGAAACCGTGAATATCGCATTTTATCTTTGAATGAATATGAACATACCGCGGAATGGAAATAGAGTCCATCTGAGTCAGGTTACTTTTAAATGCTTGCCAGCTAGAATCGAGATGCATAGGAATTGACTCATCCCAGTCAAGCTTCTGAAGCCAAAGTTCTTGCAATAAAATTTTTGCGTTAGTCACTATTGGGCATACTAGTCCGAGGGGATCGAAGAGCCGAGCTGATACTGATAGTATGTTTCTTTTTGTTGCTCGCAATTCATGAAACTTTTCGTCTACATGGAACTTAAACGTATCATTCTGGGGAATCCAGTGTATACCTAGCGCCTTTGTGGAATCAGTATTATTAACATTTAGAAAGAAGTCTGACGAGTCATACGTTTTATGGTTTGAAAACCATTTCGCTAATTTAAGTCCAGCCGCATCAAGAATTTCAGTACATTGGGTACGAATTGTTTCCAGTTCCTTCAGACTGTCAGCTCCAGTCAATAGGTCATCGACATAGAAGTCATGTCGGATAACCCTTGCTCCAACTGAATGAGAATTCTTGTACAGGTCACTTAAGTAGTTTAGGCAACGTGTTGCCAAGAAAGGAGCAGGTGAAGTACCATATGTCACTGTGTTCAGTTTATAAACGCTAATCTGATCCGTAGGTTTTTCCCTCCAGAGAATAAGTTGAAAATTGCGATCTGCCTCGTCAACTTCGATTTGACGGTACATTTTTGTAATGTCAGCAGTCATCGCGTATTTGTGCATACGAAAGCGAAGTAGGATTGAATACAATTCTTCTTGTACCGTTGGACCAACCATTAGAATGTCGTTCAACGACACTTGTGAAGATGTTCGGCATGAAGCATCGAACACGACGCGAAGTTTTGTCGAGGTACTCTGAGGTCGCAACACACACTGATGCGGTATATAGTAATGAGGTGTCGAAGAAAAGTTGTCAGTAGTTAATGTCATGTGACCTAAGTCACGATACTCTGCCATAAACTCCATATACAGCTTCTGAAGCATACAGTCTTTCGACAACCTGCGTTCCAGTGAGAGAAAACGATTTTTTGCTGTTTCATATGACTGACCTAGAAGGTTGGGGTTGGACTTGAAAGGAAGCTGCACCTTAAGCCTCCCTAAAGGTAAGCGTAAAATTGTGTTGAGAAACTTGGTCTCACAGTGTTGTTGTTCTATTGTGTATTTTTTGACAGTGAGCTCCTTGGGAATTTCTTCCAATTCCCAGAATTTTTTCACAAGAGAGTTTAAGCAGAAATCACCTGTTGACTCTGCTTCTTGAAGGCGTATTAAATTGCATATCTTAGATGCATTACTTGGGACATCTTTATATTTTCCTGATACAATCCATCCAAGTAAAGTTTTTTGGAGAATTGGAAGATTAGTACCTTGTTTTATTTGTCCAATCGACAACAGTTCGAAAAAGCTTTCGGCACCAAGTAGAAGATCTATCTTTTGCGGTTTGTGAAAGTGCGGATCAGCAAGTGAAAGATTGGAAGGAACATTCCAATTACTCATTGACACAAATTTGTCGGGTTGGTAAGTGGAGATTGAAGGCATTACCCAAAAATCAGTAGAAAACTCATAAGAGTTAATACGTGATCTCACAGTGGCATGTAATTTTTGCCGTACTGTGGAGTTTGTTTCACCAATGCCAATCAGGTTTAGAGTTTTCGCTTCTTTTTTTAGTTGCAGTCGTTGTGCAAGTTCCTCGGTTATAAGGTTGACTTGAGAACCGGAATCGAGCAGTGCTCTGGCCAGCTGATACTCTCCAGATTTTCCTTGAATGGTTATGACTGCAGTGGCTAGAATAATTTGATCGTCATTCGATGAGCTATGATTCACAGAGGCACGAGAAATAATAGGTTGTTCTGGATTATAAGATAAACCTGTTTGAGGAGTGTTAGTAGAATATTGGTGTAAAAGAGTATGGTGCGACCGATTACACACTCTGCAGCGTGACGCCTTGCATCTAGATACCGTGTGCCCTTTCTTGAGACAATTTATGCATGCCGAAGATGATTTAATGAAATTGAACCGTTCAGTAACTGAGAGGGCAGCAAAGGCGGAGCATGAATTTATTACATGTTCCTTCGCATTACAGAACAAACATCTACTTTCCTCTTGCGAACTATTTTTCTTGCACATAAGTGACGATTTTACATTCTTACCTTGCCAGTTGTCTTGTTTTGGCCTGTTCGATCGAGACCTTGACGTAGAAGCTTCGTCAGCAGAAATGTGTTGGTATCGCTTATTTAACGCAGTCTCGCAATCAGACCAGAGCGGCAGCTTATTGTAATCTAATTGTTCCTCCCATTTAGATTTCGTGGCGGCATCGACTCTTGACATGACTAAATGAATAAGAATCGCATTTGAAATGTTCTTATCATCTCCTATTGACAATAGGGACTCATATATGGCAGAAACAGTATCTATGATATTGCGTAATGCAGAAGCAGATGGCTTGTTCATTTCTGGCAGTTCAAAAAGCTGCGAGATACTATCGAAAAAGATTAGACAAGTGTTATCGTAAACTCTTTTTAAACTAGCTAATGCCTTTGAGTAATTAGTTTCAGTGAGTTGAAATGCCTTAACTGTACCAAGAGCTTCGTCAGACAAACACGAAATGAGATGATTGAATTTTTCAATATCACTTAGCGACTGATCATTGTGCACTAAGCTTTCAAAAAGGCTTATGAAGTTTTTGTACTCAGAATGTTTCCCACTAAATTTAGGTAAACCCATACTTGGCAGCCTGGAACGATGATTGCTGCATTCATGCGAAGTATCAGGGATACTAGACTTGCGGTTTTTACCTAACGCCTGTAGAAACAATGATTTCGAAGCAACGCAGATTTCTTCTAGATCTGGCCGAAATACATCAAACTCGTTGATACACTCTATTTTTTGTTGGCAAGTCATGGCCTGTTTAATGTATGAATTGAGAATGTCCAACCTACATTCCAGTTCTACAGGGTTTAAATCAACAGTTTTTTCAGAAATTACTTTTTTAATACGCAAGATACTGGCCACTACAGTTTCTCGCTGCTGGAGTAGTTTATCCAATTCTTCATTTTTTTGTGGGGATGATGCTCGCTTTTTAGTTGACATAGTGAACACAATTTACTAAATTTTTTAAGAGAGAAGGCAATGCAGCGCAAAGAACGATAAGAGTATTTGAATACTGTTGAGCGACGGTTGTAAGTAAATTCCAACAAAGTAAACGCGAGAAATTAGCGAAACGAAAGATGCACTCACTTTGTTTATAGAATAATAAAAAACGATAAATAATCAATATTGTGATTATGGGTAAATTCCAACAAAGTGGTTGCAAGTAACTGGCGAAAACGAAAACGAAAAATGCATTCACTTTGTATATAATTTGCCCCTGCAAATTACTCAATTATTTGTATTAAATAATTGGATTTACCGAACGTATTTGTTAATGAAGCTCAACCTCAGCTTCGTAAATTTGTTTCACGTTTGTCAAATAATTTATTATAGAAATAGAAAAATATATGTGTTTTAAAAGTGCAAATAATTACCAGTGCAAAGTTATTTAAAATACTTTCTTGACTATTTTGTTTAGTCAGAGCATGACCTGGTACAACAATTTTATTATTTGCACTTTCTTACCTGGCAAACGGCAGTGGTGTTACAGTTGCACTCCATCCAGAAAGCAGCAATGAAGAGCAGTATCGATCTGCAGTGACAGCGAACAGCAGCAGCGAAATGCAGTAGCAGTCTGCAGTAGCAGCGGCCAACAGCAGCAATAGAATTGAGCAGGAAACTGCAGTAGCAGCGACCAACAGCAGCAATAAGAATTGAGCAGGAAAATTTTTGTTGTAAAAATTGGCGAAAACTTTCTCACTTTGCTGGCACGAAAAACAGTTCCGGGAAGTTGACGGGAAAATGCAAATTTAATTATTTTTGCGACAAAAAATTATAATTTCCGAAATAATTTAAATAATTTCACTTCAAAACTTTATTTAGGATTTGGGCACGTTTTAATTTTAGGCTGGAGGATCGCAAAATGAAATTTTGATTGGAGACAAGTGCAGCAGACAAACGGTCTTCGTGAATGCAAGCGAATTTTTTTTTTTTTTTTTATTATTATTAACGATTTTTGTCTGGTGCTGATACTTGACACCACACCGACATTTACCGCAACCACTTCACACGTGGAAAAGGAAAAATTAAATTGAACGAAAATCACGATGCTGCCAATTGCAGCTCCACCGAACAATGTTCACTAAATTTCACTTTTTTTTTTTTTTAAAGTTTTTTACTACTTGATTTCAAGTCCCTGCTCGGGCGCCAATGAAAAATACAAGAGTTTTTGTATTTATTGAAGTTATAAAAAACGAAAGTTACAACGAAAGTATTTTATTCAAATTAATTACACTTTATTTAAGAAATTAAAATTTTAATAAATCACTTCGAAAATCGAAAATAAAACGCGTGCTGTTCATTTGGAACTTGAAATGCAAGAGAGCGATCGAGAATGCTAGTTCAATCTTGAAGCCAAAAAACTGTAAATTAATATTGTTTTTATATTTTAAAGTACCGTATATGTGCAAGGTTGACGAAAGTCAACATTGGGTTGCATATTTACCATAAAAAAATGAGCAGCACGCGCGTTATTTTAACTACTTTTAAAAGAAAGCAAATTAAACATAGAAATAAAATATAAACATTCAACATGCATATTTGTAACAGCATGTGTCAAAATATTTCTTTTAAGTAATATGATCAAAGTCAAAGCGTCAAACCGACAAAAGTGCATATTATAATTTATGACACATTTATTTTGTCTGAATGAACAGTGGCTTGTCACATATGATATTAATGTAGGTCATGGGCACTACACCATGTTTGTTTCTTCTTCCATTATCGCCACTGAAGTACACATCATAATTGTCTATAGTACAGCTTCCGTGGTCTGGCCATCGGTCTGGCCATTTCATGTTTGTGCATTTTCCGTATTGTATTATTAATTTTACCGCTTTCGAACATACTTCTGACATTCCAAATGCCAATTTTATAGGATTTATTATCACTGACTCATCTTAGCTGAACGGGAGATTCTTAGCACCGCTACTCCATTTAAGGGGCGCCCGTACTCGGGGTCAACGTTTCGATTCTCAGCGATGTTAGATAAATTGATTCATGTTTTTTTCATGTTACATTTGGAAAAATAATAGTGGTGGTTTTCTGGTATGGTATAACCATACCAGTTGTCTTAACCTCTGCCTATACATGATACTGAGAAACCAGCTGCCATTCCCCAGCGTCATCTGTAACCTTCCGTCGATACTACCTTCGGAAAGCTTTCAGTGGGGGTTTGTTACGAAGGTTACCATTTCCTGGCTGTTTGGTCCGCGGGAGGTATATCATTTCTCTCCTACCACCCATTACTGGGAGGCTTTCGCTATTCACCACCTCCGGCGCGCCTTGTAGGGATATAGTCTCCCCGGAGAGTCCCTGGTAGTACGTTCTGTTTTAATTGGGACGCAACACAGCTTATATGTTGACTTTCTTGATTGCACTAAGTCTGCACTCTTGACATATGTCGTTGTTTTTTGCGGTAGTTCGATTGAATGAGCAATTTCGTACGCTTCAGTGATATTTTTTTGGTTTTTTATTAATTATTTTATCACAAATATTCCACCAGTATTGTATCTAAGAATAGCCCATACTCACAAAATCTAGCACTCTCCTTTCTCTTGTTTAATTTTTTGGAAAGTAACGCTCTCAATCTACATTTATTTCGAGTCCCTTCAAAATGATAAATTAAAATATTTTTTATTTTGTTGTATGTGAGCATGTCAGGTCCAGTTGAGTTTTGCTTTCATATGTACACTCACATCTTCCAGTATCTTACTCAATTGTCGCGCCGAGTCCACACGCGTGAAATAATCCTACACTGAGGATCCCTCTTAACATATAATTTATATTCCGCAATCTTAAATGGTAGTGGTTTAGGTGTCTCCTCCGAACTTGCATTTAAATTTGTTGAATTGTTAACAGCAGCGCCTTTCATCGCTTCCGTCATCGCTAATCAAATCGTGTCGTGAGTAATTACATCATGGTCGCATGATATGAGACTCATATTAATGATTCCACTTCTGACAACGCTTTTGTATTTCTAGTTTTATTTCTTGTCCACGTTATAATAATGCATTTGCTGTTTCACTTGATGACTAAGAACAATTTTGTAAGTTGTGTTAAGTAGGCCTGTGTGTGTAGAAGGTGTGTGTGTAGAAGGTGCTTTTGTATTTCTAGTTTTATTTCTTGTCCACGTTATAATAATGCATTTGCTGTTTCACTTGATGACTAAGAACAATTTTGTAAGTTGTGTTAAGTAGGCCTGTGTGTGTAGAAGGTGATATGTTAACATGAGTATTAAATGAACAACATGATATTACCTCGCGTGTCCCACGTTGTCCAGGCAGTCTCCGTGCAGAACCTGCTTCTTTCACTGTGGTTCCTTTTGTAAAGTGGGCATGCACTTCATCATCCAAATTCGCGGCAGTAATATTGTGGCGCACCGTTTACACATTTATTTTTATTTTTATTTTAATTTTTTTAATATTAATTAAAAATAGCCTGTGCATTGCACGCACAGCAAAAAATGCAAGAAAAAAAAAAAGCTTTTGTACATTTTTTTTCTTTTGATGTTGTTTTGATTAAGAGTTGCGGCGAAAAGTTTTAGGCAAAATTAGGAGTTAAAATGATCAATGCTGCCAGAGCAATGTACAATAGTAATATTAATAAAATTATAAGAAATGATGCCAATGTTTTGGAAAATTCGGAATGTATAAAAATAATAAACCACCGTATTAACTGGTACTTTTTGGAAAAACGGTTGAAAGGAGAGGCGCCAGTATTAAACGAGTAACAGGAGTGTCTACTGAAAAGATTTAGGATATAAAAGGAGATATTTGGTGATAAAGTTTGCTTCTTTTTGATGGTTTGTTGCTTCGATGTGATCGTTTTTTTTAAGAAATCACAGAAATTAATAATATTTTAAAAGATAAAAAAAAGTGACTTTAATAAGTTTATTAAGTTTGGAATAAATCACTAGCAAAAGAAATGAAAACGGAAAGTCTCAGAAATTATAAATATTAAAAAAAAAGAAATGACTGAAAAGTTTTTTTATTTTTGAAATTCAAGAGTTGCGAGTAAATTAAGATTTGTGTTTAATTGCAAATAAGAAGTCTCTAAAGTTATAAATGCTAAAAAAGACTAAAAGAAAAATTTTCGGTTACAATATTTTGGTGAAATTTTCTGACCGAGCCAAGTGAGTGACAGAGCTTGTAATTCACATTCCATGGGCGAATTGACCAGATCAACAGCAGTGGATTCCCATCAAAAGCAGCAACTATATGGTTAAGTAACCCCCCCACAACTACATCAAATGGCGGCTGTTGCGGCAAGCTAACCTATTTGTAAGCGGAGAGTACAGGATTTAATATTTTACTTGTCGCGAACCCACTGGTGTCCAGAGAAAAAAAAAAAACCTTTTTAGTTTTTTTGATGTGCTTAATGTTAATTTTTTTTTTGGTTTAATTTATTATATTTTATTATTTGAATTAGTTTTTTTTACGCTTTAATTTAAAAAAAAAAGATATTTTTTTTACCTCATTTATTTTTTAAAAAAAAAAAAACACCTTTTGGTTAACTTGAATTTTCTATTAGTGTCATTTGTATATAAAAGAAATTTTTTTATTTTTTTTACATGAAAGTAAATTTATTTATTAAGAGATTGTACACCTTGTAAAAAAGAAAGAAAAAAAAAACTTTCTACCAACGCATCAGGTGTCTGGTTTTGTTTATTTTTAAATTTTTATATACATATGTATATATATGTAGATTTTTTTTTAAATTTGACTAACTAGGTACTCCAACAACATGAAGTGGCGTCATTTCGTCGATGAGGGTAAGTGCCTATTTACAAAATTGCTTAATTTATAAATAAATAAAAGAAAAAAAAAAGGTAGAAAAACAAAAGCCATCAAACTGATGTGCAGTAGATTTTTTTTGTTTTTTTTAATTGTTTTTTTTATTATTATTGTATATTTTTTTTTTATACACATAGTATTTGAATT